AGCCTGGAGGACCGGCGGGGCTGGGAGCACCGTGTGCTGGTGCCCAAGCGAAGCGGAACAGAAAGGCGAGGATGGCTGCGGGCTGGAGGCTGCAGCCCCGCGATCGGGTGAGCACCGTTTTCTTGGGCCGGCAAATGGAACCGCCCCGCGGCCCCCGCGCAAGGCGTCCAAGCGGTCGTTAATTCCTTGCGCGAGCCTAGGCCGGGTTCGGGGCAGACGGCGCCCCGGCAGGATAGACAAAACTGGTTAAGATGGCGTGGGAGACGTACGTCACGCCCTCCAGATAAGGGAGCAGCTGCCCTAGGTCTCGCGTGCATCCGAGATGGACCCAGGTGACGATTCCTTCACGTGGGAGATGGAGAACGGAGAGCCCGAAGCAAAGACCGCAGTGAATTCTGGGACCAGAGAAGCAGGGGAGCACGGCATGATGGGGAATCTGTGCTCCAAATGCTAATCAACCCATGTTTACACACACCCAGCTCAGCGTTTCTCAGACCAGTTCTAATCTGGATTTACAAAGGACTTTTCCCCACCCCCGACACACGCACTCCTCTAAGCAGAAGTAAAATTTACTAGGCATCTCGGGCCGTACTTCCCTGGTCCCGCTATGGGAGACCTGTTTAAACTTGATTGATTAAAACTCGGTTGCCGGGTTAGGGAATGCTGAGGCAAAGAGACCGAGTCCGAGGGGGTACGGGCGACATTTGAACAATGGAAAAGGGTTCATCACAACGTCCAGCCCGTTGGAGCCGTGACCACAAATGCTGTCATACTTTTCCCGGGACGACTGGTGGAAGTCCCCTCCCCCTCCCCCCCAAGGTTATGAACACCCCAATAATTGCCTTAAGTCTGTTAAAAGACTATAGTAAGATCTGGAAAAGTCATGCTAAGCTGAGGCTTGTTCACAACAAATAAAAATCCAAAACCCTGATGCTGCAAGCTAGCTGTTGTTCCTGAAGAAACCACGAGGTATCCCATCAGTATATCTGCTATCCACAGGAATTTCAATCTGGCTCCCAAGTGTCTAACCTTATGTTTTTCCTGATTATCAGTCAGTTTTTTGGAGATGTTCCAAACCAGATAACCCCTTGTCAATAGAAAGGCAATGATTTACTGTACTGAGAATGCTTTGAGGAAGCTGAACTGAGGGTATAAAAATCGGTAAAAAAAGCAGCAAAGTGTGGGTGTGCTTCAAGAGGAAAAGTCTCTCTGACACGATCCGCTGTTGTTCTCGAGAAGCTGGGAGAAACAGAACGTCTCCCTTCAAGGATCGTGCAAAGACCTTTACCTGTCAGCATTGCAACCCGAGTGCCTGGGACTGGTGAGATCCCAGCGCTCGCTCTCTCTCTCCTCTCTCTAGGCATAGATTTCTGAGCCTGAACTGTATTAGTGAAGCTTGAGCTAAGTTTCCCCAAATACTTAGCGAAACCAGGGTAATACTGTAATTGTTTGTGTTTGTTTTTCCTTTGCATGTCTGTTACTACTAGTACCATTATATATTTCATATACTTAGCAATAAATAACTTTTATAGTCAAACTGGTAGTAACTGGGTACATTTTTCCTTCTCTTCTTCTCCTTCCCCACTTGCTCTGCAGCAACACTTCTTTTACCTAAGCTAAAGATCCCTGTGAAGCCCAAAAATACTGTGGGGTCTGCTCATTAAGAGGCTAAAGATTGGGACGTGCTGAGTTTGAAACACATAAGGGGATCAGCTTGTATAGGCTGATGGACCCAGTTTGCCTCAAACGTGCCCTAATGAACTGAATGCTGGCCCATGAAGGTGTCAGCTGGACACACAGCTGGATTCAGAGGGATTCTGTTCACCCGTGTGCTTGTGTCTGCCTGCGGTGTATTGTTGCTCTGATGAACTGATTCTTGGCATATGAGGGTGTCAGCCTGTCCATGCTGATCAATCCTGCCGGGTCAGGCGTGTCACATTAATCTGTGTGTGTTTGTGTGTATGACTGATCTGGTGACTGGAGGAACCCAGCCCCATTGGAACTGAGTCCTGCAAGGTAGCTCCATTGGGGGTGAGGACTTGCAGAAGGGAGAGACACAGCTCCGTATCGAAACACAAGTAACACAAGCAGCACATTGACAGAATTACCAAGACCTTAGAAACATATCCCTCATAAATGAGCACACCCCAAAGTGATGGGCAAATCTGGTAACAAGATGCAGACATTGCCTGGCTGGCTGGGGCATGAGGGTCCTTCAGTGATGCAGCCAGCAAGGCTTCTGCTGAAGCATGCTCATGCCCCAGCCAGCCCCTCTCTAGCAGATTGCAACCCGGTCGGAGCTGCCTTAGGCTGCTGCCAGCCGGGGCAGTTAAGATGGGTTCAAGGTGTGGTGCATGAATAAACTCCAGAGCACTATGCCACATAGTTCTTTGCTTCAGGCTGCACATTCAAAGGGTGTACCCAGGAACAAAAAACTCAAGTAATAAGCCCTAGAGTTTATTTGTGCGTGCTAATTGCACAGTGATGTTAGCTGAGCTCACCAGCAGCTCTACAGGCCTATGGGGGAGGGAAAGGCTCCCCCTGGGCTGGGGAAAAATTTCAGCAACACTGACCCTGACCCAAAGCTGAGGAGAGGTGGGGAGGGGCATTTTTAGAATCAGAAAATTAGGGCTGGAAAGGAACTGAGGTCATTCGGTCCCACCCCCTGCTCAAAGCAGGACCAGCCCAATTAGATCATCCAAGCCAAAGATTTTTCTACCTGGGACTTAAAAACCTCCAAGGATGGAGCTTCCACCACCTCTCTGGGTAACTTGTTCCAGTGCTTCACCACCCTCCTCATGAGACCCTGCTGCAACTTGAGCCCATCGCTCCTCGTTCTGTAATCAGCCACCACTGCAAACAATCCAGCTCCATCATCCTTGGAGCCCCCTTCAGGTAATCAGGTAATTATTGTTTTTTACATGCCCTGGTCTTGGGCCAAATCAGCCAAACCAGTTCCGAAGTCTATCAACAGAGTGCAGCTCAGTCATGCAAGTCTGTGCGCCACTACCTCAGCAAGTTTCCTCCCTCCCAGACTTCAGCATGGGGCCTCAGATACTCCTGCATCCGTGGCAGGCATCCCACATGCAA